CCCTGGTTGTTGAGAATCAAAACTGTTTTATATAATTGATTTTTCTTGCTCTATTTTTTTTCTAGGGTTGGGATCCCGCAGCCTAGTGGTCTAGGCACCCAACCCTCCACGAGCGGGTTTCGGGTTCAAGTCCTAGTAGGTACGTTTATCTACGAATATTTGGAAGTATCTGCCGTGGGAAGTCCAAGTGAATACAGGTCTAGATTAGGAATTTCCGGAAGGAGGTTCATTGTGGAGTAGTTGGCACTACGTGTAATAGTAGTTGTTACAGAAGGTTCTATTACACAAAGGTTGTGCGTGTAAATCCACGATTGGCAAGGTAGCACCAACAACCCCTAAAGCGGCATTGGAGATCTTGTTTAGGAGGATGACCGGGCGGTAACTAGAATTGAAAGTAGTGAGTAATGTGGTGAATACAAAGGGACCTGTGGTAAAGAATTAGCCTTACCAGATTTGGAACACCTCTGGCGCAACTACTTACCTGATGAGGAAAAAAACAAACTTCTATAGAGAGTTGACTAAAACTTGGGGTATGTGTAACTATACCTGAATGTGGGCGAAATGGCTGGATGTACCGGGCTGGGAGTGTAGCAATACACGAACGAGAGGGAAAACACCAATAAGAAACACCAAACACTAACGTGGAAGTGAAACAGATCGCAAGTCCTAGTTAGATCTACACCCCTAAATATCTCATAACCTAAAATATTAGGGCAATGGAAACACCAAATATATTTGGGGGAAAAAACTCAGAATAATTTAGAAGATCTAGAGCACGAAAAACACCCTTTAGAAGTAACTTTGTTACGATCATTCCCTTACTTTCACACCTACCAACTATGAGAGTACCTGTTATCAAGAATTGGCAATGCATATATTACACATATGACATTAATTGGGCTATAACTTTGTGAAACAGCTGTAGCGCCACCTCATCTGCAAAACTATATCTTGTTAAGTATAAGCTCTACATGGTATTAACACATGATGCGGAATCTATAGTAGCTAAAATAGGCTTGAATTAGGGAAGCAGAGCGGTCTAACCAATTTGGAAGTAACCATTAGGTTACAAGGCCTCCTACGGGTTACCAAAAGAGGGAGTTGCATGTTGTAAATATGAGAGATGTGGTGAATATAGAAGAGAGTTTTGTATACAAATCAGATATAGTAGTTAAAAATCCAGGTTGTACATAAGTGGGATATGGAATTCTCTGGTAGGTTTAGGTCGCAGATAGTAGTCAAGACCTGTCTGAGCCATAATGTACTTAATAATAGTATATAACAATTGTATCACATAATATATACAAATATATACTTATAATAAAGTCACGAGGCATGACCTTACCTTAACACCGAAAAAAAAAAAAGAAAAAAAAAAAAAGAATTCTTTTTTATATATATAATTTAAGCGATTTAAACAAGTTTTAGTAAGTTATTTTTATTTTTATTTTAAATATAATTATTGTTAATAATGTATTATATAACTTTATATTTTTGTTCAAGTTTTTTTTACTGCTACACATCTATCTCAATTAAGATTTAATTAATTTTCACCAAATCTTCCTTCGTTATACTTTTCTCTTCTTTATATGTTATAGTTATTTATTGTTATTAACTAGTTCAAAATTGGTTTAGTTATGTTTTAGAATATATTTCATTATGAAAATAATTTTATCATAATGAAAGAGGCTTAGAAACAGATATTTTATTAAGTAAGCAAATAAAAAAATTATTATTAATATAATACAGTCGTCTCTTATTAATATTAACTCTATTTGAAATATTTTTATATTTATATTGGTACAATATTAATAAGCAAACATATTTAAAGTTGATATATAAAGAAGCTTTTATATAATTTTATAGTCAGATTGATATCAATGGAGTTGATATTAATTAGAAATGACTATAATAATAAATATGAGGTAATATTATTTTACTATACAGCTAGTAAATTTAAAGCATCTGATATTTATCAAAGAAAATCAAACTTTAGATAATACTAATTGTTTGATAAAATAAAATCTTGCTAAATTTAAATCAAAAATTTTAATTAATGTGCTTGTGTATAAGATGCTGATACGTACTATATTATTCTTGTATGATTAAATTGCTATATATAGTCTTGTGCATATAAAATACTTACTTTTTGTGATATAATAATTCTTGATTTTGATTGATCAACCTTACTTATATAAAGGCACACCTTTGAACATAATGGCATACCTATAGCATGCCATGTTGGCATGCTACCCATGGCATGCCAAAGACCTCTTTGCTATGAACCCTAATTACTGCGCCTTCATATTGGCGGTATGCGATATCTTGCTAAACCCTAATCCAAAACTATTCTGTGCAAGGATAAGCTTATAAAGTGCCATATGAATCAATACTTGGTAAGTATTTGTTGCATAGCATTTTATATCAATAAAAAAATTTATTAATAAATATTTTATTCTAATAGCTAGATTTCGAAAATGGCAGCTCTAGTCATACTTCAGCAGAAGCTATCATGATTTATGAACTTGTGGGTCACCCACAAAATGAACATTTAAGGCAATTCTCGCCTGAACCTAAGTCTGTGCCTGTATCTGTCTTCCAAAGTAATTTATCAATAATGATGTTACAAGACAATATGAACGAATTATTTGGGGTCAATCAATATTAGTTTATATATATATATATATATATTTTTTTTTCTTTTAATTTGTATTATTTTTTATTGTAGTAAATATTAAATATTGCAATTTTATAATAAAATTGTTTTTATTGCACTTCTATAATAAATTTAAAATATTATATATATTAGTAAATATATATACATAATTTAATTAATATTATCGCTTTAAATTAAATTTGATAAATATTGCAAACAATAATATACAGTATATGCTAACAATTTTGATATATATATATTCAATTGATTTTGGCAGAATAGATAAGTATTGGATAAATACAATATTCGATATATATTGAATTCGCTATATATCAATTATTACTGTATATTGCTACTTATCGAATATATACTATATATCAATTATTATCCATATTGATTGGCATCAGCAGGGGTGATTAGTATCAATATATATTTACCTAGCTAGTTATCAATATATATCGGTCTATTTTTTTTGCTAATGTAATCAATTAAATAAAAATTTTAAGATGTATTTTTTAAAGTTAGAGGTTAGATTAAAGGTTAATTTTAAAGTAAAGTTTATAATAAACAAGTATAAGTAAGTTTTAAAAAATTAATATGATTTTATTATAAAAAAAAATACCATATGTTTCTAAAAATAAGCTATTCCCTCTTTTCTTGAAGAAGAAATATAAAAAAAATCTTTATTCTGAAAATAAACTACTTCTAATAATTTTTTAAAATCCAGAAATAGTTTCTATATATAAAAGTCAAAATTCTACATAAAAGTTACTTAATAGAAGTTGTTCAGAATGTAAAAATACACATATTCTAAAAGTTTGAAGCAAATTGGAGAACTTTTTACTAAAATGTTTTTGCATTTTATATTCAAACATAAAATGCAAAAACATCTCAGTAAAATTTACATTCTGAACAACTCCTATTAAGTAACTTTTATTAATTTACTTGGTAGAGTTTTGACTTTTATATATAGAAACTACTTTTGGATTTTAAAAAAATAATAAAAATAGATAAGAGCAAGGTCTCACCTTAAATATTAAAAAAATAATAATAATAATAATAATAAAAATCAACCTTTTTGAAATTTTACACAAAAATAAGCCACCCCATGATTTTTGTATAACTTTTTGGCCAAAAAAGGGTAGCTTATTTTCGGAAACCTACGGTAATTAAAATAACAACTATTATCCAGCAGCTTATTATGATTGTGCTGCCAAAATAACTCGAGTTATTTGGCAGTGATACGTCATCTGCCAAATAACTTCGTTATTTGGCAGTTTATGTAATCACTGCCAAAACTCGAGTCATTTAGAAGCACAATCGTCATAATTCCGTTATTGTATGCTACGCTAGCCAATAACTCCTAATGAATTATTTTACAAATAATTCGAGTTATTGGCTGCTTCGCATCCAATAACTATATATTATTATTAATTGTTACTTTAATTTTCTAAACTTGAACTTGTTTATAAACTTTTAAACCAAGTTTAAACTAGAATTGGTTTTAAAATTTAATATTACAACTAAACTAAACTATATCTTTAAAATAAGTTTGGTTTAGATTCACTTTGAAATTTGAACTAACCTAAAAGTTCAAATTGGTTTGGTTCATAAAAACACTAATATTAAATATTTTAAAAAAATAATAAATTTTATATTGAAAAAGCAAATTATTATATCTATTTAATTCTTACAGATAATAAGATAAAGAAAACAATGGGAAAATACAAAAATAAAATAATAGGAATTACTATACGACGATTACTCAAGAATAAGATGGCGATAGTAATTCTAATAATAGAAATGTTAATGATAAATAATCTTACGAAAATTTTCGCGTAACAACAGTCAATGCACTTTTCTGTTCAGAAAGCGATTCGACAAAATACCTTGATTATGATAGCATATCGATATTATAATAATACGTATTATATATTATAAATTTTGTTTCTTTGATCACACAATGTCCAATGATATTTTTTTTATTGCACTGTTTAAACTTAAATATGAAATTCCAAGATGTATCATGAGTCTAATCAGATGCGAATTAAATATGCCATTTCATTTGCCATTAAACCATACTCTTCGTTGCGCTCCATTCCTAATATTATCTGATAATCAATCCATTTAATCCAATTTAAATTCGATCTTTAAAAATTTATCAATTTGAACCTGGATATACTTGAATATCATAAAAGTCTTGAAATTTTTTTGAATAATTTAGTTTTATTGGGTTTGGTCATGAACTCAAATTAAGTAGAAATGCTGATTCCCAAACCCAGGTTAAGTAGTAATGCCGTAATTTTTTAAAAAAAAGGGTTGGGTCGCAATCCTAATGTTATCGCTATTTTTTGAGTTCCGTAAATCCAGGAAAACATTCTTCTAGTTTTTTGCTATGTTTATTCTCTGCATGTTCCATTAATCTAAAAAATACATATTATTAGAAAAACACACATTTTGTTATAGTAAAAATTCAATGATACCTACGCTTTTTGTCTCACTGTGCACAAAAAGGTATTTCGACAAATTTGACATATGACAGTTTTTGCAGCTTCGTTCTGTGAGCAAGGAAATAAAATTACAATTTAGTTTGTATATACTAAATAATAGCAATAACAATAAAACTAAAGTCCCGGGAAACAGATCTACTTTTGTGCTGTCATCAATAGAGCAGACCTGCGCTAATTCATCAAATGAAAGAAAAAAGCAAAATTTAAGCTACTAAAAAAAGCGCAAACAGAAATTATGTAACGTACCGATTTAAGCTGACTAGAGGCGGCTTTCTGAGATGAAGCCTTAGCCCTCTCTCGTTTGTGTTGAGCTTTTTGACCCTGAAATGAAAGTTAAGTAAATAATTAAAGTAAATAAAAAAAAACAACGGATCGAAAGAGAAAATTATAATACATTTCCCATTTTGAAATCTTAAGATACTCTAGAGATGAAATGTAAATTTAACGTTAATCCGAATATGGATCACGAGATCAGTAACGTGACATTATTTTTCATAGTATATACCATGTAATTACAGTATTAAATCAGAAACTATTTTAATAAATTTGAAATACAAAAAAAAAAGTTTATTAATAAAGAAAAAGGTACATATTACAGCGATACGAAGAATCGATCTGTGATGCTATAAGTATCGTGGAAATTCGGGAACTTTCACGGCGATTAAATCGTTTTAAGTTTGATACAATTTATTTAATTGCTGTGTTGATAATTTTGATTTTATAACTTGACTAATTATTAGAGATGAGTTAAAAAGCATAAACATTACCTTTTTAACACGCTCTAAAACCAGTATTGTTATGAAAATGCACAATAAAAAATATGTATATAAGATATATATAATCTGATTTTTTTTTCTCCCGAAATGTCCTTTACAAAGAGGTAAGAAAAAAACTTTACAAAAAAAGTTTCAAATATCATAAAATAAATTACATGAATACAAAGACCTTAATTTTTTTTAAGTCGCTATCAACATTGTAGAAGAAAATGACAAATGCCAATTTTAAGACTACAAATATATCGTCTACTACTACGAATATAATAATTTTAATGCATTTATATACCATAATATGAAGA